CCTTGGAGGAGAGCCAGGCCTTCATGGGCGGGGCTCGCGCGCCTTCGATGGCGCGCCCAGAGCTGCTCGACACTGCGTCGAAGGATTTGGAGCGCATCTCAAGCATCAAGAAGAACGCCAGGAAGCTGAGGGAGGAGCAGGCCGCCGCCGCTAAGGCCAAGGGCGCTCCTCCCAAGACGGGATGATGCCGGGGCCGCCGCCGGGGTTGCCTCGATCCGGTGGCGAACCTTTGGAGAGGCTGGTGGACAGCGACGGACACGTGCAGCGGTCGCTTCTGCCTTTGCCAGTCCCTGACTGGTGCAGCGCCCCTGGCGGCGCCTTGCGGGCGCGCTCTGCTCGCCGTCGTCGAGGGCATCGGGCGCATCAGGGCGAGCTTCTCACCGAGCTCGTCGTCGCGCTCAATCAGCTGGATGCCGGCTCGGACCTCGTTCGCAGGCAGTGTGGGGGCGAGCCCAGCAGGACGCAGCAGCTATGCCTGGAGCGCCTCGCCGAAAGCTGCGCGGCGATGGGCGCTCCGCCTACTGATTTGTCGTCCGAGGTGGCCCTCCGGGAGCTCCAGGTCGGCACCGCCTACGGGGACTGCGACCCCGTCTCGGCGGCCCCCTTCGCGCACGACCTCGTCTCCTTGCCGGCCGTCGGTGGCGCCCCGGTGCCGCTGGACCAGCTGCTCGGGAAAGACGGGCCAGATATCGTGCGGAGGTTTATTTCTTCCAAGGTTTTGTCAAATCATGATGCCGCTGAGGCAAAGAAGGACTCGGGTTTTGCGCGGCCGTGCCTGGATCCAGTTCTCCGTCGGCGTGGAGACTACCTCGCCTTCATCAGCCGACTGCGCAAAGCTAACATGCTGGATTTCAGGCTGGACGGCGACGACTTCGAAGAGGTCGGGCTTTTCACAGTTTGGAAGAAAGACGGTCGCCAACGTCTGGTGATCGATTGCAGGGGATCCAACTTGCATTTTGCAGAGCCTAACAAGACCAGCCTCGCTAGCGGGGCCAGCTTCAGTCGCATGGAGCTTCAAGAGGGTGAGCAGTTGTGGACAGGGGGCGTGGACATAGCCGAGTTCTACAATATGGGTTTGCCGTGTGAACTTCGACGTTACTTTGCTCTTCCTCGATTGCGTGCCGCTGACCTTGGCCTCAAGGTCGTCGAGGGCCAGTCCGTGTCGAGCCGAGCCTGGGTCCGCCCGTGCTTGGCGGTCTTGCCAATGGGCTGGTCGCACGCTCTCGATTTCTGTCAGCGGGTACACCGCTCGATCGTGCTGGAAAAAGGGGGCCTCCCTGGGGCAGCTGAGATCATTGACGGACGTCCGCCTGCGGATGTGAGGGAGGGAGCTTTCACGCCCTACGTCGACAACTTCGTCGCCTTCGGCGCGGGGCCCGAGAGGCCTGGTGAGATGTTGGACGCAGCTCGAAAAGCCCTTGAAGGTGTGGGCCTGCCGGTGCACCCGGCCGAGGCGCCTGTCACCGTTTCGGAGCAGCTGGGCTGGGTCTTCGACGGCGAGCGCGGGGCCTTGCGCCCCAAGAGTCGGCGTGTTTGGAGATTGAGACTGGGGATTCTGGAACTCTTGAAGAAGGGGTACGCCACGGGTCGCCAGATCGGAAAGGTTGCTGGACATTATCCTTTCATTGCTCTCGCTCAGAGGCCTATGCTCTCCGCCTTCAGCGCCGTCTACAGTTTTTCCCGGAAGTACTTCTCCCGAGTCATGAAAATCCCGCCTTCGGTTCGACGTGAACTTCAGTGGGCTGCCGCGCTCCTCCCTCTGGCTTGGGCTGACCTTCGTGCGCCCTGGGGCTCCATGGTGCATGCGAGCGACGCGAGCGAGGAGGGGAGGGGGGTCTGCCAGAAGGAGGCCGACGTCGAGCTCGTCAGGGCTGCGGGTCGTGATGAGGAGAGGTGGAGGTTTCGTCATCCTGGAGTTTCTCGACCTCGCGATTGTCTCGGTGGTCCCGGGGATCCCGCAGAGGAGCCGGAGATCGTCGACGACTTCGAGGGGGTGAGCACGGAGGGCGAGAGGTGGAAGGTGCAGGAGGTTTCGGGCGAGCTGTACGGGGGCAGGTGGCAGGTGGTGTCTAGTGGAGGATGGGCCCGGGTTGAGAACATCGTCGTCCTGGAGGGTCGGGCCATCGTTCACTCGCTCCGGCACGCCCTTCGAGATTCGAAATCTTTTGGTCGTCGTCTCCTGTTCCTGTCCGACAACATGGGGCTCGTGTGTGCATTGCAGAAGGGGCGTTCGTCGGCTGGGGGGGTCCTCCGCATCGCTCGGCAATGGGCTGCCTGGTGCCTGGCGGGAGGCGTGCAGGCCTCCGTCCGCTGGATCCCGTCGGAGCGCAACGTTGCGGATGCTCCGTCGCGCCGCCGCATCCCCCTCGGCGTGTGGCTGGACGGGGGCGCGGGCGGTGCTGAGCCGGACCTCGACCGCTGGGGCGTGCGGGACGGGAGCCTCCGTAGCCAGCGCGCCGACGTCGCGGCAGCGGGGGCGGAGCTCGACGAGCTTGCCGTCCGTGGCGCCGCCAGCGGCCCGCTCCGGGGCGCCCGGCGTCCCCCGGCGGCTGCGGGGCAAGCGGGCGGCCGACGGGAGCGATCCTGTTCAGTCGGCGGTGCGCCGGCCTCGCCGCGTCGGGGCGGCTGCTGCCGCTGCGCGGCGGCAGGGGCGCGCGGCGCCGGCGCGGAGAGCTGCTCGCGCGGCTCGCCGGCGGGCGCGGGCTGCGCCCCGGGTCACAGGGGGGACTTTTCTGCAGAGCGCCTCGGTGACGCCGAGACGGTCGCGCAGTACGACACGCTGTGGCAGGACATCTTTCGGGCGTGGGCAGCAACTGCGTGCGTGACCGGCGCCGCCCGAGTGCCCAGCGACGACGACATGGGCGGCCTGCTTGCCAGCTGGATGGACCGCGAGTACTTGGCCGGCGAGCTGTCGCAGCGCGGGACCAAGGCGATGGCGGCGGTGAAGTTCTTCCGGCCGCAGTTCAGCCGCACGGGCGGCCTCTCGCTGCCGCGGGCAGCGCAGGCCTTGAAGGGGTGGAAGCGCCTCGCCCCGGGGCGGGCGCGGCTCCCGCTCCCCTGGGAGGTGGTGTCGCTGATCGCGCTCGAGCTGGTCGCCGCGGGCTTCTGGGCGATGGCTGCGTGGGTCGTCACCCGGGCACGCACATCTCGAGCTGGGCCGTCGTGCTGCGCCCCTCCGAGGAGGAGGTGAGCAGCAAGACGAGGGAGTTCGACGAAACCGTGGTGTTCGACCTCGCAGAGTTCAGCTTCCTCCACAGCGTGCTCGCGTTCCTCAAGAGGAGCGCGCCGCCAAGGCAGCCTGTCTTCGACTTCCTGCGCGCGGCCCTCGTCCGCAACTTCAGGGCCGCGGCCGCGCGCGCCGAGGTCGAGTGCTTGGGCCCGGAGCTGCACATGCTGCGGCGCAGCGGGCCAAGCCGCGATCGGGCGCGAGGGCTGCGGACGCTGCAGGAGATAAACCTGCGAGGGCGGTGGCACTGCGACTCGAGCGTGCGCAGGTACCAGAAGGAGGGCCGCCTGGGGGAGCAGCTGCAGAGGCTGCCAAGCGCCGCCCGCGAGCGGGCGGTCGGCTCGACGGCAGCGCTCCGGGCGGCCCTCGTGAGGCCTTTGCTCGCACCCTGGCCTCCAGGGGTGCCCGCCTCGTCCAGCCGCAGGTGTTTCTAGAGCTGTTCAGCGGGCGCGGCGGCCTGTCTCAAAGCCTGCGGTCGCGCGGCTTCTTCGTCCTGGAGTGGGGCAAGGCGCGCGGTCCGCAGTGGGACTTGAGCCGGCAGGCGAGGCAGAAGTTGGTGAGAGGCTGGATTCTGGCCGGGCTCGTGCGGGGCGTGTTCATGGGCACGCCATGTCGGACTTGGGCGAGGGCGCGGGACACCGGGCCCCTTCGAGATCCTGACAATCCTCGACCCTGCCTGCCATCCCGCCTTCGCAGTGATCAAGAGTTGATGGGCCTGAGTGCCCTCAAGCATCCCGGCGATCTCGAGGCTGTGAGAGTAGGCAATCTGTTGGCCGCTTTCTGTTGTAGCATCTTCGAGCTCATGCACTTTCTAGCTCTGCCTGTCGCCATCGAGAATCCTGCCCGCTCGCGTTTTGGGCTCCTTCCTCGTCTTTTAAAAGCCAGCAGCTGGAATACCTCTTCGTTAATTATTACAGACTTGTGTCAGTGGGGGACGCCGTGGAAGAAACCTACCGGTGTTCTTGGCGATCGAATCGCTCTCGCTCATCTTGCCTGTCGGTGCTCAGGAAAAGTCTGTGGTCGCACTAATAAGCCTCACGCGTCAATTCACGGGTTGGCAGCAGCAGGTGGTTTCAAGACGAAGGCCGCCGAGCGCTACCCCCCTCGCTTTTGCAATGCGCTCGCGGCCGCTTTTGACCAGGCCCACGGAAGCGTCAAAACGAAACAGCTCTCACCCCTTTTTGCGTAATTGTGCTTCCCCTTGCAGTGTTTAATTAATCGAGATGACCAACTGGAAAGTGTGGCAAGGTTGCGTGTTGTGAGCCCTCGTCTCTGGCTAATGTTCTCTGGTCGCGTCCAGGCTCCGCTCGACGCGACCGATCGTTTCCCAGAGCCGGTGCATCCTTGCCTAAGCTCGTCTGCGCCCAGAGGTGCCGCAGAAAAGAAGTCCCCTGGCCTTGGCAGCGGCGGCAGCAGGCATGGACATGGACTCTACTTCGTTGGAGATTGCCGATTGCCGAGAGTTGAAGAGGCCGCATTCCGCTGCCATGTAGGCCCTGTCAGTTTCGCGCTCCCAGTCCCTCCCACCCCTCGCGCGTGTTGTGAGCCCTCGTCTCTGGCTAATGTTCTCTGGTCGCGTCCAGGCTCCGCTCGACGCGACCGATCGTTTCCAAGAGCCGGTGCATCCTTGCCTAAGCTCGTCTGCGCCCAGAGGTGCCGCAGAAAAGAAGTCCCCTGGCCTTGGCAGCGGCGGCAGCAGGCATCCTCCTCCTCCTCCTCCCTCTCCTCCTCCTCCTCCTCCTCCGCCGACCGGCCTGAGCTGGATCTCGTGGTCGAAATTGTCGGGATGCGTCCTCCTCGTCCTCCTCCTCGTCCTCATCCTCCTCCTCCTCCTCCTCGTCCTCCTCCTCCTCCTCCCTCTCATCCTTCTCCCTCTCCTCCTCCTCCCTCTCCTCCTCCTCCGCCGACTGGCCTGAACTGGATCTCGTGATAGAAATTGTCTGGACGCGAGGGTTCGATAGGGTGAAGTCGGGCCTGTCCCTCTACAGGAGGAATGCCCCAGAATAGTCCAACAAATAGTATGGGGGCAATGTTGTCACTGTTTCTGGGCATTTGGGGAGCATTTGTTTGCGTATTTTTGTTTGTCGCCCCAAAGCCCTATGTAGGGGGACACGCCCGACCTAACGATAGGGTCTGGCGTGATGTCGATAGGGTCTGCCTTGGGTTTGTCTTGAAGAGACGGGGAGGGCCAGGGGTATGTGGCCAGTGGTCTCCCTCATGTGGGTCTGGAGGGGCTCGCCCCTGAGGGCTCAGACACACCTGGTTTGAACGTATTCATCGATGCCGGCCGCCTGTTCACTCCGAGCAGGAGTGAGTGGCGCGATGCGCGATCCATCCTGCTCACTGGTGTCACCTTTCATCCGATGCGCATGCCGCGTTCTCAGGCCAGTGCGCTCTTCCCTTAGCTCGAGACCATCTGCAATGTGCGGCTGGTCGCCCTGCTGCCCCCCTACAGTGAGCGGCTTGACTATGGAAAACTTACTTTTCAAAAGGGGCTCGGTCGTTCCTTAGGTTTGCATGCGTTATGTACAGTTCCTTGTGCGTTATGTATTATTCATCGTTCCTTATGCGTTATTCTTTTGGATAGAAAGGGGCGTCGTTCCTTATTTATTGTTCCTTAGGTCAGGCCGATGACTGTAGCCCTCGCTGGGCCCCGTCCTCGCTCTGTCTCGTTGGGCCCCGCCCCCCCTCCCCTCACTGGGCCGTGCTCCTCCCGTCCCTCCTCCCGCCCCTCCTCCCCTCGCTG